AATTTAATTTATGGCTTTTTTGGTAATTCTTCTAAAAATTGAAAATTATCATTAAAAGTATGTTTTTTTCTTTAATAAATGCTCTGCATATGTATAATCAGTTTTCCCATTAGTATAGCTCCTCCTGTGTTCTGTAATCCTTTGATTGAAGGATCTCCCAGTTTGTCCCACATTGGCTAGCGTGTTATTGTTACAATTGATGTGAACAATTAATATAAAACATTACTTTCGATTCCATTAATTAATTTTTTAAAGGTCTTTATGAATATGAGACCAACAACATTACTCTGTTATAATATACCCATTCTAAACGATGCGAAAATCTAAAAAAGGTACTAAAACTGAGCGTAATATACTTTGACTGGTATTATAGGGAAGGACGTCAGTTATAGTGATGGTAGAATTACACGATTTTTTGATATGCCAAAATAAAATATAAAATAGGTAATACAACGATTCTTCGCCCTTCTTTCGGTACTACTTTAGCATATACGACGTATGTATTATAAAGCACTAACTGCTTTTGTTCACTCAGTTTGAATAATTTGGTTAACTCTTCAACGATTTCAAAAACAATTTATTACTACATTTGTTGCAGAGAAACATGCAGAACAGACGCTCCATTCGTTAAGACTTACGTCACATTCGGGCATCTTTAAAATGCGCAACTTTGTACTTCAATACCGGATGTTTTTCTCATTCATTTGAAATTCCAATAATCAAAAATACGAATATTGCAAATCCTCAGAGATATTAGCGTTTTTTTACCTTTCAACAAAATATTAAATAGTCATTCCTTAACAAAGTAAAGATAAATCAGATTCGTCAATGGATAATTTAAACTATCATATTAAAGTCATCGTCCTTTGAAAAATAATGTACATTAACTGATTGCTTTCTGCAATTGAGCCCTGTAGTTTGCAACCAGCGTTACTTTATTTTTTTAAAGGACACCCCTATTCCAGAAACGCTGGTAGTATCACTTCAGGATCGTTTTAATAATTATTAATAAAACTTTTACGTGTCGATGTTACTATCTGATATTCATGTTCTATTACTATTCGATTTCAATGTATGTTCTATGAATGTTACAAATATCCTAAAAAAAAAGAAAAAAACATTAAGCAAGGTCTCTTTGGTTAAAACGGTGCAGTTTCCAAAGAGTCTCTTTAAATAATACAAAAAATAGATGTTACGTGTATTTAAATGTACTTATTGCTGTACCGTGACGTGAGCTAATCGTATACATTTTTGTCTACCCAAATATCACATATTATATTATATTATATCTATTATTTATCGTAATATCTAACAGAGCACGTTTTGAAAAGAATTTTCTGCACAATTTACTTATAGCTACTTTTAGACAAGTAATTTCCTCTATAAGCGGTGTCAATGTCTATTTTAGTAAAATGATTGTCTAGATGTCACATACTTAGTTTTATGTGTAGGTGTTGTACTATTAGTAAGACAAACGTAATATGATAACGATCCTTATTTTACTATCAGGGAAAAACGCAACTAATGCAGCAATTAAATCATCATTAAATCCAGCGCACCCTATGCTAGCACAGTCTAGTCTAGCATAACCTAACCTAACCTAACATAACCTAACCTAACATAACCTAGCCTAACCCGGTCAAACTTCCGCCATGCTACCTTGCCGTACGTTCCCTTCGTTACCAACCCATTCTAACATGACCAAACATAATACAATCCAACCCAAGTCAATCCAGCGCAATCTATGCTGGCCTAACCTAACCTAACCTAACCTAACACTTGAACAAATGAAATGCAACAGAGGAGGACAATTATTATACTGTTCACTCGTACGAGATTCGTGCANGACAAGATGCTTATTTATATTTAAAGACATATTAAAGGCTTTAACGCTTCTTTTCGACTCGCACTACTATTCATAATTGAACAAAACTTTTGGCAGGTACTGTATGAAAAAGTATGTTTAATGAACAAGAGTCGAGAGTATAATGAGCTTCTTTCTTCCTACCTACGATTTTGCCAGCACGCATCCAAAACAATGGAAGGGGCACATCGCTAAAGAAAGTAAATGAAGTATATTAAAAATTAAAAGGAATACTCACCCCTAATTACCACAAATAATTTTATTAGAGCGGACACGTGTTTCGCCCACTTCATACGTGGGCATTATCAACGCGAGACTTGATAATGCCCGTTGCCCGTGTCTCGCGTTGATAATGCCCACTTATGAAGTGGCCGAAACACGTGTCCGCTCAAATAAAATTATTTGTGGTAATTAAGGGTGAGTATTCCTTTTAATTTTTAATTAATATTTACCACAGTCTCATCTTTCTACTTTAAATGAAGTATACTAACTTACTTTCCACGCGAATAGGTTTATAAGTAATTACTGACAATGGATAGTTTAATATTAATTTACTTTTACATGTACATATACTTTGCAAAACGATGTAAGAAAAAACCAATGGAAGCATGATAAATGTCGCCATTATTATAAAATAAGCATATTAATCATAAGAAGTTTTACTTCTATTCTAAGTCTTGTGACACGCACATCTTTTATTGTTGCAGTAACTAGTAAATGTATCCCAAAACATACCACTGGTCCGTTTATTTCATCGATTAACAATAAAAACGTTAGCATTCCTTTTAGACCTCCTTCGAAAGTATTGATGGCGGCAGGCACAGAGCAGCGCCGTGCTTCGGTTTCCGTGCCAATTAGATTTACGGAAAGCAGTAACAGGCCCTCGTTGTCCTCATTCGAAGAATCAGGCCCATCGTCCGCAGCATCTCCTTTATTTAGTGATATAGACAATAATAACAAGCGCGATGGAGTATGCGCCTCCAAGACATTGCGAAAAAGCTCCAGTTTGACGAAAACGTGTTCAGTGAGTGGCATCAGTCCACCCATAATTAGCGTCAGTTCCGTGATCGACGACGTGGCGTCGACTGCGAATGTCGCGACACCGTTAGCCGAAACGGCGGGCCGAAAGAGTGACGAAAATCCAGCGTCTCCCATGACAGAAATTCCTTGTACCAGTCAACAGCAAAAGCAACAACAACCTCTGGCGCCTTTGGCGGAACCCGACGCTGAATCGCCCATAAGCGAAATTGTTGAATTCGAAACCGTCACTTCAAAGGAAACAGAAGCCAAAAGTAATGATGTGTGTCCTTGGGAAGACGAGTAAGTACTTATATATATTACTCACTGACCACAAAGTCACAAATTAAGTTAAAGCTTAGTCCCCACTATTATATCAGTTAAGATACATTCATGTTGAAGCTTTTTACAGCAGAAATGTTGAGTAAATAGTCTAAATGGTATCATTCAACAAAGTTACTGAACCAACTATTTTCTCACTTTCAATTCAAAACATATATGAAAGATCTAATGATTGCCATAGAGTTACGGAAAAAAAAACATGTCAGATATGATTATTGAAGTAAAAACATTAGATATGCCGTTCACGATCCAGTCATGGTTTACATCAAAATATCGTTGGAGAGAAATATACTGCTACTGACCATGTCGTACAATGTGAATAATGTCATACAATATCTATGCTACAAGTTTTTCTTGATTATGATCGGATCGTGATTAGATCATGACCGGATCTACAGCATTAATCGACCTTATGCTTACATTTATGTATACGAAAAAAATAGCAATCACTTCTTCGTCACAGTTAACTGATAATTCGGACATTTAACTAATTACGTACTATTTTCTTCGTATAGACAAATATGGTCGTGATCAGTTCAACGTCACGTTCTTCACAAAAATAAATATTTTCGAAAAAAAAAAAAAAATCAAGCTACGTATGGGGTAAAGATTTTTTATAATTAATGGTATAAGGTTTTACTTGTTGAAACTTCATAATCAATTAAAGGAAACGAAAGTAAAGTTTCAAAAATATATGTTAATTGTTCACAACAATTGTTTCATCAAAGCATTGTCTTCTTCAGGTGAAGATATATTGTAATTAAAATTGTTACAAAATTAGCACAAATACTAAAAGTTTACAAATTATATGGAGTGGGAACAACGAAAGGGAGGGACAAGGTATGATATTAATTTTTCGAATACAAATTTAAATTTAATAACGGAGAGCTATTTACGTCTATTTCATCATTTAGTAAAATATTTAATTTACTGTATTTATTAATATAAAGACTTTCAGCTAAATTTAATTTATGGCTTTTTTGGTAATTCTTCTAAAAATTGAAAATTATCATTAAAAGTATGTTTTTTTCTTTAATAAATGCTCTGCATATGTATAATCAGTTTTCCCATTAGTATAGCTCCTCCTGTGTTCTGTAATCCTTTGATTGAAGGATCTCCCAGTTTGTCCCACATTGGCTAGCGTGTTATTGTTACAATTGATGTGAACAATTAATATAAAACATTACTTTCGATTCCATTAATTAATTTTTTAAAGGTCTTTATGAATATGAGACCAACAACATTACTCTGTTATAATATACCCATTCTAAACGATGCGAAAATCTAAAAAAGGTACTAAAACTGAGCGTAATATACTTTGACTGGTATTATAGGGAAGGACGTCAGTTATAGTGATGGTAGAATTACACGATTTTTTGATATGCCAAAATAAAATATAAAATAGGTAATACAACGATTCTTCGCCCTTCTTTCGGTACTACTTTAGCATATACGACGTATGTATTATAAAGCACTAACTGCTTTTGTTCACTCAGTTTGAATAATTTGGTTAACTCTTCAACGATTTCAAAAACAATTTATTACTACATTTGTTGCAGAGAAACATGCAGAACAGACGCTCCATTCGTTAAGACTTACGTCACATTCGGGCATCTTTAAAATGCGCAACTTTGTACTTCAATACCGGATGTTTTTCTCATTCATTTGAAATTCCAATAATCAAAAATACGAATATTGCAAATCCTCAGAGATATTAGCGTTTTTTTACCTTTCAACAAAATATTAAATAGTCATTCCTTAACAAAGTAAAGATAAATCAGATTCGTCAATGGATAATTTAAACTATCATATTAAAGTCATCGTCCTTTGAAAAATAATGTACATTAACTGATTGCTTTCTGCAATTGAGCCCTGTAGTTTGCAACCAGCGTTACTTTATTTTTTTAAAGGACACCCCTATTCCAGAAACGCTGGTAGTATCACTTCAGGATCGTTTTAATAATTATTAATAAAACTTTTACGTGTCGATGTTACTATCTGATATTCATGTTCTATTACTATTCGATTTCAATGTATGTTCTATGAATGTTACAAATATCCTAAAAAAAAAGAAAAAAACATTAAGCAAGGTCTCTTTGGTTAAAACGGTGCAGTTTCCAAAGAGTCTCTTTAAATAATACAAAAAATAGATGTTACGTGTATTTAAATGTACTTATTGCTGTACCGTGACGTGAGCTAATCGTATACATTTTTGTCTACCCAAATATCACATATTATATTATATTATATCTATTATTTATCGTAATATCTAACAGAGCACGTTTTGAAAAGAATTTTCTGCACAATTTACTTATAGCTACTTTTAGACAAGTAATTTCCTCTATAAGCGGTGTCAATGTCTATTTTAGTAAAATGATTGTCTAGATGTCACATACTTAGTTTTATGTGTAGGTGTTGTACTATTAGTAAGACAAACGTAATATGATAACGATCCTTATTTTACTATCAGGGAAAAACGCAACTAATGCAGCAATTAAATCATCATTAAATCCAGCGCACCCTATGCTAGCACAGTCTAGTCTAGCATAACCTAACCTAACCTAACATAACCTAACCTAACATAACCTAGCCTAACCCGGTCAAACTTCCGCCATGCTACCTTGCCGTACGTTCCCTTCGTTACCAACCCATTCTAACATGACCAAACATAATACAATCCAACCCAAGTCAATCCAGCGCAATCTATGCTGGCCTAACCTAACCTAACCTAACCTAACACTTGAACAAATGAAATGCAACAGAGGAGGACAATTATTATACTGTTCACTCGTACGAGATTCGTGCACAAGCGCTCGTTTTCAAGTGTTTGGAACGGTTGATGAAAAAAGGTGACCAACTTTAGTCCACCCACAATCCCGTACAGTGAAAACTACTGTTCGTATATGACTCTCGTTTGAGTGAACAGTAGAATAGTCCTCGAAACAAAAACCGTTACTTCCATGTCCTTAAAGAAAACTTAATTTCAAGCATTTGTTGAAAAGAAATAATAAATATTTTGAAGTGTATAACTAAGGCTTTTGTAATTCGAAACTTGCTACTACATCTCTGAGGGTTTAAAGCAATAAACAAATAAGTTACAGCTTTGCAACCCCGTGATTAAATATTTAAAGGATTTTATTAAAAAAAGTGTTCGCTGTCTGTAACAGTTTACCTTAAAAAAGGTAAAATTTGATCAACGAACGATGGTTTCGAACCGATGAACTTATGACAGGGCCCTAATCTTATAATTAGGCTATATACCGATCTAGACTCAATTGTACGCTATTGCGCCAATAAGTATAATAACCATAATAACGTATGTCCGGTGACTTATCTCCGCCATTTTTGAAAAATAAGAAAGATGCATTGTCCTGAATTGTGATTGTAATGTGCAATAATGTGTTGCTTCACAACACTCTGTATTAACAAAAAACAACTGCCCACTAGTATAATTAAATGAAAAATAAGTTAGTCCCGCCATTTTTTGAATAAATTCATATGAGTCATGTCATAAAATAACCAAATCTACTATAACGTAGCCTAAGGTAACCGAAAAATTACTAATTTTAAAAAAAATGTATTAATAACCTAACCTAACCGAAAAATTACTTATTTTTAAAGAAATATATTTGCAAAACAGTATATTAAAGCAAAAGACTCGCACACTTCAGCACAACTCTTCATTTTTATTTTTCAAAATGGCGGAGCTATGTTACAGGAGATTGATATTTAGAACACAGTGTTGAATTTTATAAATCTTATGAATCCGTTAGTAAACTCCATTTACTCCATTTTAATGTGTTACCTATTAAGGTGTATAACAAACACTATTTTAGATTATAGAACTGAATAAAAAAATTTATTGTCTAATTATGTAACATTCCTCGCTTATCATGTGCTGATTGTAATTATTTGTTCTTGAACATGTAGCAGAGGTACATAATATTTTTCACAATCAAGAAAACGAAGAAACTTTTCCAATTTTTATTCCAAATAGTCGAACCTAACTGAAATAATTAAATATATTCATTCAAAAACCTTAATAACAATCATCATGATTAAGATGAAGGAATTATTATTGAGAACAGTAATTTTTTAAAATAAAATTAAAGGTATTAAAAGTTACTAATTTTGTCAAAATAAAATACCTTTGACTTTTAAATATCTGAATGTCAAAATATACTTAGTTTTTGAAAATTTCATAATATAAGACACCAAAGTATTGGCGCTAAAAATTATATGAAAAGCAAAAATACAGTATCACTGATCTTTCGAAAATCGAAGGATTCAGGTGATGGCTTTATTATAGTGGCGAAAATTTGCTTATCCGCCGTAAAAGTAAATCTTACAGATTACACTGGTGATAATACGTGCTTATTTTTTCTTAGAATGTAGAAATATTGAGTAATTAAATAAAATTATAATTAAGTGGAATTGTTATTAGAAAATGCTTAAGAGGTTTAATATAATCGGCATACCTAAGTGTTAAACTGTGGCCTAATATTATTATTACATGGTACGGTACTTAAACAAGATATTTCTTTTAATAATAATCCTTTAACATGTTTCATTATTATCTAGTAACACGCGCTTGCGAAACAACAGTGTAAATTTAAATTAAAACGATTAAAAGCGTAGGCGTTATCGGCCGCAATTGAAACTATTAACGTCTTAATTTCGATATTTTGAAACCTACCCACAATTTAAGGAAAAATCCTTCTGCTTCAAATTAATCCTGAAATTATCTTGTGGAGTCGATGACAAATTGTCACACTTAACATTCCACCAATCAGGACAATACAATAAGAAGATAAATATCTGTGTAATATTATTTATTAAATGAATTAAAAAGGGTTAATGATTACCTTCGATAAGAATTTAGTTTAAGTCGTTGTAGTAATGTTATTGAAAGGAGTATCTTAATAGTCCATTTGCTATAGGTACTATTTCGAAATATTATCTATTTCGAAAAAAACATAACAGTTACCATTATGTCAAATGTAAAAGTTGATAGTGTTATTTTTTGTAATGTGTATAGTTAAAAAAATAATAAATAAAACAGTAAGTATCCTAGAACTGACACGACCTCTATTGTAACATGTGGTATAGATGATGATAATAATAAATACTGCAAGAAAAATCAACATGTTTTGCTTGAGTAAAATTTTTGTCGTTTCCAATACTCATTCAAAAAAAAAAAAAAAATGAGAAAACAGAATACTTAGTCAACTTTCATAAACATTACAATGTGATCTAATACGTAAATATTTAAATAGTCACAATTAAATATTACCTTCAGAAAAGTTAGACCAGCAGTTGTTCTACTACCACATTATTATCTAAAGATGGCAACAGTGAGAACATAGTGATGTGTATATAGTTTTATATTTGTAAGTAGAACATTATTACTGTTACGTTGTAATTTTGTCTGAAATGAAACATTGTTGACAGATAATTAAACTTAAGTAATTGTAGTGTAAATAAATATACAAAATGTATAAACATTTTTATTTAATAACTACCTCTTTGTTTAGAGTGCTATTCATACGAACTAAATTCGTTTGAAATTATTAAAAACTGAATTCTACGTCCATCCTGATCCCTGACTCCGATACTGTTTTATCGATCCCTCTAAATTGTTCGTTACTCGGTATGACAGTCAAAAGCCAATAAAATGTATTAAGGATGTTTGGGAGGTATGTCAAAATGCTACGAGACAAATAAAAATTTGGAAGAACGTTCCTTATTCAATTCTAAAACTCCTGTAAAAATTACAAATCGATTCACTAAACCGTTAAAAAGTTATTGAAATTTTAAAAAATTGTAATTTT